GACTGCAACTACTTTGTGTCAAATGCAATGACAGTACACAGGATGCTGCTAATCATTTGTAATGTCTAATACAGGCATTTATGATATTGTATGACAGGACCTGATTCCTTATGTTCTTGCTCCTTTTGTCACTCTAAGGAGACTGAAATGTGGCAAAGTCATCTATCCAACTAATGTATCAATAATGTTTACTCTTGTTTTGCACATCACTGCACAAACTGAACTGTGATGGAGGTGCTTTCCCACCATCTTGTGCCTTCCAACTTTGTAACACAATGCTGCTTGTCCACAGGTGTATTTGAAGGAGTGTGCTGGTTTGGGCTGGTACAAGAGCTTATTTTCTTCAGAGTAGCTAGAATAGGGCTGTGTTTTGGATTTGTGCTGGACACAGTGCCAGTAATGCAGGGATGTTTTCATTACTGCTGAGCGGTGCTTACACAGAGTCAAGGCCTTTTCTGCCTCTCACCCTACCCTACCAGCAAGTGGACTAAGGATTCACAGGAAGTTGGGAGGGGACGCAGCCAGGACAGCTGACCCCCACCAACCCAAGGAGTGTTCCATACCAGCATATAAAGCTTGGAATATAAAGCTGGGGGAAGACGAACAAAAGAGAGACACTTTCAGAGTGAGGCATTTGTCTTCCCAAGTGGCTGTTACTGGTGACGGAGCCCTGCTTTCCTGGGGATGGCTGAACACCTGCCTGTCCATGGGAAGTGGTGAATGAATTCCTTATTTTGCTTTGCTTGTGTGTGCGGATTTTTCTTTACCTCAACACACGAATTTTTTCTCTTTTTCTCTTCCGATTCTGTCCTCCATTCCACTGGGGAAGATTGAGTGAGCAGCTGCATGGGGTTTAGCTGCTGGTTGGGGTTAAACCATGACAAGGAGGTGTCATGCAGGAGGCAAGATGAGCTTTCAATACCCTCATGGATAATGAAGATTCCTAAAACCATCTCAGTCCAAGTCTCAAGATGATACAGTCACGTTGTAGTAAACACTCCTCCTAGAGAATGATCAGGCAGCACTGTCCATGTTTCAACTGAAGCTGAAAAAAACAGTGTTCAGGGTAAAATGTTCTTCAGTGGCATCCACTTGGAGTGCTCACCTGAGCAAAGGTAAAACACAGGCTGTGGCAGAGTTTTATGCCAGAAGGTGAACTCAAGATAAAAATGGGAAATAGTGCAAGAAGTGTTGAAAACTATAATGAATTACACATTTTTACAAAAAATAGAGAAGAAATAGTTTTGCCAGGGATTACTTCAACCAACAGGGAAAAAATAATACCATGATTTAATGAAAATACTTCAAAGGATAAAGTATGAAATCTAACCTAATCTATCTTAATTTGTTAAAGATTTGGATTAATTTCAAGTGTATAAACATATATGTCCCCATGATAGAGCTAGTCAATACCATTTATTTTTTTCTTGTACCTCTGAATGAGAATTGTCTGCAATTGTTTGCAGGCAAGGAGAGATAGATTGTTTACCTCACTGGCTCAAAAGAGAATTTGGCTTCCTCTCAAAACTCAAAGAGAAAAATACAACACTGCTCTTGAAAAAATATTATCATAAATCAAAACTAATTTTCCAAGTAGTGATTTTCAGGGCTCTTTTCACTGGAAATCTTGGGTTTCTCAAGAAGCAATCCTTATACAAATAATGATGTCTTAAACAAAGACTCTTTAACAGTGCTATGAAAGTTCTCCAACCATTATTCATGCTATTACAAATAATTTGGAGTTTATAGAACCTCTGTATCCCCAGGCTGGCACAGTCTCCTTATTACAAATTAGTTCCCTGCCAAAACTGTTTTGGTTTTACCTAATGATCCGAAGCAGTTACTTTGTAAAACTAAAATAATTTAATTATTTATTTATTAAAGTAATCCACAATTTGTAAGAGGAAAAAGAAGTATGCAACTTGTTTCATGTGAGACTTCAAAGACGAAGTACATTGTTCTAATAAGCAGATATTTGGAGTTTGATCAAGTGATACTATTTATCCATTAAGATCTGATTCAATATTTTAATTTTAGAGAAAATCTATTTGCTGATTTCCCAAAAGCACGTGAGGTTCCTACAAACAAAGCAGGTACCAGGAAGCCCTTCCAAGGCTTCCTTACAGCAATATCATTTGGGGAATGCAAACCTAGCTGTAGGTAAATATTCATAGCTCAAAGTTACATTCAGTGTCCAGTGATATATAACCATAAATATGATATTAGATATAAGCTTAAAGGTGTGTGTTACCTCCCTGATTTTTTTTATTTATGTGTGTAGTGTTATGTTTGCATACTGTCAAGTAAAGTTTGGTAGTGACAGTGTGGACTTTCTCCAAAGTCTGACTACCTCTCTAACTGCAACAAAGTTTTACATTTTCCAACAGTCCCCCACAAAACAGTTAGCAAATATGACCTGCCTCTAATTAACATGTTGTTCTGAATCACAGCCTTACAGTAAGAATCCAATGAGCTCAGCTTTTACGGAGCTGAGTCCGTCCTACAGACAACACAGAGATTTGGCCAATATAAAAAGTGGGCAACAAAGGCAAAGTGTGGAATTTAGTATTTCACATTACTGCCATCTCCTATAACATAGGAATCAAAGACTAGAAAAAAAATACTGTGAGCGCACTGACAGTTCCCAGAATACCAAAAAGGGTGCTGTGACAAAACTAACCACTTGCACAGTGATTCATTAGTTATACAAAAAATCTAAAACACATGGCATAACTAAACCAAAGCTTAGGTTCTAACTCAACCCTGTTTTTCAGATTAAGCTCTTACTTCCTTTTCGCATGTTCTGTAATCTTTTCTTGTATTAACCCTGTTAATTATTTTTACATCTTGTGTATTTTCTCGGTCTGCAGTAGAGAGACAAACTAAGGGAACATCAACAGAAATTTTGAAAGAGACGGCAGGATATTTATATATACTGGGTAACACCCAAAAGGACCTATAAGGTTCATGGGCTCATTACACTAGGCATGAAGCAAATAAAAATGAGACAAGTTATTTCCCCAAAGGTTTGCAGTCTCAGGCATCTGAGGGTTGGAATGAACTGATAAGCTAACTCCCATTTCTCTTCAGTCTTAAAACAATTTGGCAGCGGTCTACTTCTTGCTCTGTTTTCCAGAGATTAGAATCACAGAGAAATGGAGCAGATATTTAATTAAGGTATTTCTTTTTTTACGTCATTTTCTGTTCCTAACCTCTTTCTACATCTGTCTTCACTGCATAATATCATAATTCTCCTTCTCTATGTGTTTCCTCCTTTCTGGCACAGGAAGTCCCCTTTTATCCAGGCTTCATTCAATGGTATCTTTCTAATTCTTTTCTCAGTAGAGTTATTCTAATGAGAGTTTCACCGCACTTCACAGAATGATCCATTTCACAAGCAGAGTCCTACCTTCAGCTGTAGGTATTTTAATAGTGACCAGATAGTGACCAGTATACAGAAAGTCCCACAAGATGGGTGACAGGTTGCTGTCTGGGAAACACTCTTCTGTTTGCAAAGCCTAGAGTTACAGCAAAAATTGTCAGATTGTGTAAAATGAAATGGCTCCTATTATGATAAATCTAAGTTCTGTGCATGTTTGTTCTTAAAATAAGGGTTGGATCATTCTGCCCAGCCTCAAAAGGTTTCCTGCAATACTGGCACACCATTGCTCCAAACAAAAATACTCCACAAATCCCCCTCCTTCAGCATGTTCTCCACAAAGCCAACTCACCTGAAGTGTTTAAATTGCTGTCAACAGGAAGCAATAACGATGTACTGCAAAACACCAAGGGACTGTAACCAGGTAAGAGCTTCTTTTAGTGGGTACACACAACTGAGAAACTGTAGTAGCAGTCCGTAATAATTGTCACTTCTGATCACCATGGGAACGAAACAGAGGTCTACTTTGCAGGAAACAGATCAGCAGTGACTCACCAACTGCTTGGGAAGCATGATTATTGAGAATTGCTAGACTTGCGTGGGTGACAGAGAATAGTGATGCCATTTCAGCCATAGTCCAATATAGCACAGACTCCTCTGCTAGACAGGCAGCATGAAATCAAGTAAATTAGTACCTTGTGTTCATTAGAGACAAATTTCACCTTTATGAATTTCTGCAGCATCAGCCTTGTGTGGACTCTTTGCTATGAAAGGATTTCATTTCTAGTGAATGAAGTCCTAACTGAGCTTACAACAGCCTTTACCAGGTCTTCTGCAACCCTCTTAGTGACAGATTTAACCCTTGAGCGACACAGAGGTTTAGATCTATGTCACATCCTCTGAACTACACTAGGATGTGGATGGCACACACAAGATGGGCAGTGCCTCTGTCTGGACTAACCAGACACTCAGAAGTTGGGCCCTTACAACAAAGCTCCAGGTCCTGCATTAAGAAGAAAGCAAAACAAATGCACTGTCTTATCAGCATAATTCAAAAGAGCAGCTGTCTTCGAGGTGAAATAGTTTGTACTAGACCAAAATTTGCAATCCAAGATATTTTGATTGTTTTTCAGCTAATCACAAACTGTAGTTTCAATCCTATGCTTTCATACTCCAGAGTTTTTCAAGAGTCACTTTTCAGAGTTATGTGAATTCAAGCATATTTCTGGGCTGTCAAAGAGTCTCAGATCAAATATTCTGAGATCACAAAGCCCTAATCCACTCTTTGCTGAACTATTTTCACTGGCTCCCCAGCTCTGGCTGGAGACAGAGTGACAACAGCAAGGGAAATGGTATTACAGCCCCAACATTTAAATGTCTCTTTTTCATAAATAGTAATTTAAAGCAAAGTATATTCCTTAATAATAACTCTGTCATTCAATGGCTCCTTGTGTTCTGGTTTTAATTCTCACACTGAACCACCATTTGAGTGCCTAAATATTCTCCAAGGATGCCATCAAATGCACAGCTGGAAGCTGGCATGTAGGGTTTCTTTTCTGTTCCTCCTAGTAACAGAAATATCCATAGGTTGTAAGTTTTAAAAAGCAGATACACCCATTTCTCCATGAAAGATCATGTGCTTTTATTAACAAAGGCTGCTCACCAGAGAGGAATTTTGATGAGCAGAAAATCAGTTTCCTAAGTGGGATTCAGCCAAGGCAGAATACAGTGTCCTGTCAAGCAGTTTCTAGATCTTGTCCTTGGGAAAACAAGAGTCTGCAAATCAGAGACAAGGGCATGGCCCTGGCTATTTAGTTTGATGGGTACAGGCCCGCGTAGCATAAATAAATGTTATCTATTTTAGAGACTCCAGTCCATGATGCTGAACATTTGTCAGTTTATCAGTAAGCTTTTGAGAGTAAATGATGCAGAGGAACAAAAATATTAAGAAACCACCGTACCTCCCACACATTCAGGAGGATGAAACATTAAAAGACCAATTCTGCTAAGTGCTCCAAGCTTCTCTTTAGCTCTGCACAGGAAAAACAAGCAATGACGTAAACCAAGTAAAATACCCCTTGCAACTGTCCCACCACCAACCGGTGGGAGCTATTCATTAGCAATCATCTCTTTCTTTCTTCTGCCCACACGTGGGGGTTCAGATGTCAGTAGCAGAACAAGTGATGTTCGAGTTCAGCCCTGTCCACCTTTTTGATGATTCTTCCCAGCAACTGAAGGATAGAAGTGGACAAACAACTGGGTTGATTACTGGAATCTGTTGTTGGCTTTTCGAGCACTAGCTGAATGATGATGTATCCTAGGACGACTGGTGTTTTTTCTGCTTTGGGAAAGGCAATCGTGATCAGGTCAGGCATGGGCCTAATTGCTTTGTACTAAATAAACTTGTGCTGTGCAAACTGTTTAGACCATTTGTGGAACATGTGAAATGGAAACTATACCCTTATGCTATGGTAAGCAGGTGAGAAGCAAGCCTGTATGTTTATTACTCAGTGCTACTTGAGTTCTCATCAGCTTGGCTTGCAAGAACAAGACTCTGCAGATAAAATCAACAGACATTCATTCACAATGAGATATTTTAACACCACATCTTAATCTTCAAGCTTATTTCATCTTGATTTGAGGTCGAAGGGGTCAAGAATGAGATGCATATTTGTCTTCAGGAGCTGGAAGCCTGAAATCGTTGATAACCCAAGTAGCAGATTTCTAGAGAATAGCAATAAATAATGTCATAAATACTTAAAAAAAGGACAAGCAAGGAATATTTTTAAATATCTCTTTTTGCAAGCCTCACATCAAACTAACTCTATTTAAAAGTCAAAGCTGCAAGTTACTGGATATCATAGTCAAACCTTGTTCATTGGTCATGAGAGGTATCGGTTAAATGGGCAGGAATTTCATGGTTCACAGTGGTTTACTTCTTCATGTCCAAATTTTCTGGTTGGCCCTTTTTCTTTTAATTTTCAAAGTGGTCATTGATCTACAGTAATACATTAATGCAGTGTGAGTTGGGCTTTTTTGTTTATTTGTTTGTTTAAAGTGTATGGCATATCATGTCCCATTAAAAAATTTTACTAAAGAATTATGCAAAAGGCTTTAATAATTTAAATACTTGTTCAGCCATATGGAAATGTACAATCTGTTTTATGTTATCTGGAAAACTTACAGTTGCTATTAACTTAATGAACTTTAAAACCTCAAAAATTTGCTCGAGTAATAATAACACTCATTCTGTTTCAATTTGCCATACTGGAGATGTTTATGAATGAGTCAGGGATACAAAAATCTAATTGTGATCAAAAATCTTCTAAAAGTCAGGAGGATATAGCACTGGAGTTTAGTCCTGCTACCTCTGAAAATATTATCACTTCATCCTTATGCAAGGACATGTCTTATAACATTACATGAAATAGAACACATAACATAATAGTTCATTAGTATTTTTTTACATGTAGTGTTTTATAAAAGAGATATAGCTGAAGAAAAATATAAACAGACGTAAATATTATGATGAAGTACATTGTTCTTATTGAAATAAATTTCCTTGAGCAACATCTTTTTAAATGGTGAAAACTAAACACTAATATTGTCTCACTGTATAAAAGTGACAGCAGTAATTATAAAGAACTTGATGATCTTATGCTTCTTTCATCCTATTCTTAAGTTTTCACAGAATAAGTATTAAAATTTGCAATATTACCAAAAAGATGCAAATGTGTCAAATATATTACTCTGAATTAAATTAGCAATTAATTTACAGGAACCTACCATAGGAACTATTGAGTGGACAGTAGTGATGGTTTTCTATATAAAATCTATCAAAAATTGTTGGAGAAAATATATGAAGCGTAGCTGATAGCTGATGAAATCTGCAATATGGCCACAGAGAAATAAGTTGCAGATCATCAAAGTTAGCTCTTATGCAGAAACATCCACCATGAGTTCACTAATTTTCTTTTTCACTGGAGAACAGCAGGAGGTTTCCATAATCCAACCATCATAGGAAACTGATGCAACGCTGTACTTTTAAGCTTTACCCGTAGTTGGAACTTGCAACAGTTTAGATTTTTTGGTGCTCTGATCTCTCTTGCTCTCCAGAAGGCTACGTAAATATTAAAATCTTCAGCACAAAGACAGCTCTCTCTAAAGCACTGGCAACTGGTCTTAGCAGACTGTTCAAAAAAAAAAAAAAAAAGGAACAGATTTAGGTAGACTGGTAAAACAATATTGGTAAAGCAATACAGGAACACTCTATGCATAAACCAGAGAACTAAGTTGTCACTAGAAGCTGAGAGATTTGTAGTCTATGACCTGCAGACACACATGTACATAAACTTGCAGAGCTCAGAGGACCCTTTGCAGATTTAAAGCTGATCATCTGTGTAAGACTTGAGTCAGCAGACAAGCCCTGATCTTGCATGAATAAAGGTAAAGTGCATTTTCAACTATTCTAAATAGCAAAAAATGTCAAGTGATTGATTCTACCTGACCTCAGGCATTTAACTAAAGCACCTAGACAAGGACCTAATCCAAACTCTGTTCATAAGCCACAGATGGAAAGCTGCAACCTGAAGAAGGTGCTTCAGCCTTGACCTGGTCAAGGGTGATGGTGTTACTAGCTTAGACATCTCAGCTGTGAAATTAGCTGTGAAGACCAATTGAAGGTCTTCCTGTTTAAGACTGCTGCTAGAAGAGCCCATGGAGCTTTAACCATTCATATGATTAAAGACACTCACTATATGTGTGTTCCACTCTACTAGGCCTGCATCCAGCAGTGACACCAGCCAAAACTGTTTCTGGCTCTTCACCACAATTAGAAAAGGGTTCTGCTTCTTATGGAAATTGCTGGCAGCTTTATAATTTCCCGCTCCTCACTGGCCAGACATCAAAGCAGTTCCCTATCAAAAATTGTCAATATTTACTTAGTTCAAATTCTGAACGGAAACTTAGATTGTTTTATTTTTCTGCAGACATGAACTTATAAAGGACCTTTTTTTAGTTATTTATTCAAAACTCTTAAATCAGGAGCAGAGCCTATAAATCTTCAATGCCCTATCTTAGCTGGTGGAAAACAAAGCCCCCACAGATTCTCCCATAGCAAGAGGAAAGCTCCAGTACATGACGTCATGGGTGACACACTTTGGTCCTCAAAGTCCTCCCCAAAAGAGAGAAGATGTTTTCTAACTGCAAATTACTCATTCCTGGAAAAAGCTTTGTCTGTGCAGATACCGGTCTAAGCACTGCTGATGAACTTCACCAGAGAGCAGTGCAGAGAGCATTGCTACCTTGTTTCTGTTCAACAAATACATGCCAAGCACATAATGTTAATTAAGACATACTGTACCTCCAGCTGTTTGCATCTTGATGTCTTTATTTCCTTCTAATCTTAATTAGAAAACAAAATATAAAGATGGTTAAAACATTGTAACACATCACTAATTTAGAATACCATTTTAAAAAAACCTTTCAACAAAGGTAGTACTGTTCCAAAACCAGCTACTATTATTTTGGTTAATAATGTTACTGTTTTTCATTTTCTTGTTTTGTAGCAAATTTTAGAAGTCGGTGACTAAACACTGTGCTGTATGCATGTGACAGCAGCATTTTGCTGTATTAAATCAAAAACATATTACATTATTTCATAATCATTTGTTTATGACTTTTCTATTAAGTACCCATAAACGTAATGCTTCTTCCCACTGTTCAAAAATATAACATGGAAAAGAAACAGTTTCTGCTGGCTTTCATGTAAGAACAGAAATAAACCTGAAAGCAAGCACTTACTAACTGTTATTACTGGAATTCACCACAATGCAAGTAAATACCTTCAAAACTAAAAATAGCGCTGAGGCCCTGCAAGTGCATCTATCACAGATTCCTAGTCCTAACAGGGTTTTGTTTTCTTTCAATTCACAGAGCACTCAGAGTGTGGAGAAGCTGTTCAGAAGACAATGTACCACACTGTCAGCATCCGCTCTAGGATCCTTCTGCAAAAGCATGTTAAAATTAAAATAAATGGGAACAATCACTGTGACAATTACAAATAGGCCTGCTGCCTTAAGAGGTTCCAAGGCTAGCCAGTCTGTCTGAAATAATAATTGATTTTTAAAGGACATACTAGATAAAATTAACCATAGAAAGCAGGAGAAATGCAATACACAACCTTGCAATACCTTTCGGTGCAGCTTTTGTCTGACTGGAAACCATGGCAGCTGCTTCCGATGGCAGGCCAACATAGACACCTCCATAGTTCCTGGTTTAAGAAACAATTAAAGAGACATCAGAGCTTAATCGTCACACTTCTCCCTGTAATGTCAACATCACGCAGCAGCATCACAAAGACCATGGATGGTCAAAGAAATGAGCACTCTGCAAGAGCACCCACAGAGGAGCCCTCCTTTTCCACGGACATGGGAGAAGTGCATATTAAGTGCCACGTGCTTGCTAATATGGTGCCAAGAAAAAAAACCAAAAATCCTTGAGGCCAGCTCTTATTCTTAATTGGGATCCAAGCATGTGAAAGGAGCTATTTTTTTCACTCAAAAAAATTGAGTGAAAATTTATTTATTTGTCATTATATCCCAGCTGTCTTTTGACAATAAACCCCACATGCCCAGCTTCTTCTAGACACTGAATATATCCAGCTGAGGACAGAGCTTATCTCATAGTGATGTTTGACACTGGGACCACCAAAGCACCTTGCTTCAAAAAACACATACCAGTTAAACAGCATTTTGACCTCATTAACAAATAGGATCTGCTTTCCCCTGCTTAGGGTCACACTTGCAGAAAACTGTTAGTAGGAAGAACCACAAGGGTGTTAAGCACTTTCATAGCCCTCTCCCCTTCAAAGCCTCACAGAGCATACTGTCTGGCTCTGACGCCTGTATGAAAAGCAGGGACTAACTGGTGCGGGGAGATAAAACTCTGAGTCCTCAAGAGCCTCTGCTGTGCCTGGAGTTACTTGCAGAGGCTCCCACTACACTGCTCTGCCCCATTAGATGCCAAATTAATCACACCTGCTTCAGCTCCTAGGGGTCTGAGTTGATTTCTAATTTGTTTGATGATAGGCTCATACTTCTTTCAACTTCCAGCCCTGCAGAGATCTCCCACAAGTGCTAATGGCATCTTCTGTGGCAGGGTTGGTGTGAAGGCAGAGGCCTCTGGCCCTTATCCAGCACATCACCTACTGCTGTGAGATAATGTGCTCTTTCTGCCACAAAGTTCCCATCTCCCCAACTCAATAACAGGATGGGCAGACTTATCAATACCAGGCTCTGTGTGAGATTTCCTCCTCTCTTGTCTTTTTTTTCCTCCGCTTTGTTGGTGTTGGTGGCAATCAGGAGGGAAGGAAGGATCTACATCTACTGGCAAAACTGTAGCCTGTAGCAAATAAAGCCAGCTCCAGTCGAATACCTACCTCCTTTTGTCATCATCTGATACAGATTCTTCTGCTCTGCAACATCAAAAGATACAAAGTACATTAGCAGATTCTTTCCTTCAGGTGCTCTATGGCCATCTGGGTAGATTCAGGAGTAAGGGAAGAAGGGGGTTATTACTGACCCCAGTTTAATTCAGGTCATCCACCATTCAATAAAGTACTCACATAGGTATAAAAAGAGTGACAAATCCCCAATCTAAAAGAAGAGATCAAGAATAGATGTAGCTTACTTTTCATGACCCCTACCAGTGACACCTGAAAGTAGATTTGGGAGCTGAAAAAGGTAAATTAACACTTTTCCTCAGTGAGTCTCCACACTGCTCCACACTTAGCAGGAACAAGCCTGGCATCCTATTCCCCCAAAAGAGGACTGGAAGGACCTGGGTATCCCTGCAGCAATGGGAGTGAGGATGAAGAGAGACAAACTTTCATAGCAGCTGTGCCAAGAGCTGCTACAGGGCCTCTCTATAAAATGAAGTACTGCAATTCTTGACGTCCGTTATTTGCAAACCAAATCACTACTATCAATCCCTCATAAATGGGCGATTACTCCTGTTTTATCTTTAGAATAAAATCATGGGTCACTCTGTAGATAGACAGGGAGCCACTGAGGTTTGATTTCCCCCACTGAAATACTGTCCAGTGCAGCTGAACCAGAGCAGAGGGTAATCAGCACTGATGTGATGGCAAATGCAGTATGGAAAATATAAAAACATTATTCTTACTCCCTCAAGTTATAGTGCCTGTGCTGCAGTCTCAGTCTGTGCCTCAACCTCAGTCTTCACCAAAATCACTCACCCACCCTTGATTAAATATTTGGATTTTGAGCTCTGCTTGCATGGCTGAGTATGGTTGGGGCAGCAGCTGCACTTTAGCTTGGTCTGTAACCTACCAACCTAGCAATAAAAATAGAGGCAAGATAACTTGAGTGCCTTTCAGTCCACAGATATCCTTCACTCCTTCCCTACAGCTGGGGGCAACTATGACAACTGCCCAAGGAGGAATCATGCACTGCAGCAGCTCGGGGAGCCATGAAATATGGCCACAGTGGTGCCTCAGGGAAGGCTGCAAAGAGTGAAGATGCACCACGACCCAAGGAGGGCTCTGCTGTGGAAGTGCTCGTGCACAGGCTGTTCATCCAGGTATCTTCACTTGAATATTCCCATTGAAGGATTAATTGCCTGGACCATGGGAGCAAAGCAAAGTTACTCCCCCATCATGAGCTGGTCCACGCATTTCTGATCTGCTCCCAGGCAATAAAACTGAGAGCTGGCCTTTACCCAGCATTAGGGCTAAATCCATACTGTAGGCATTTCTGAACTATGATCTTGAACAATAATATATGACTTTTCTTACTGTAATTTGTATATCCTAAAAGGTTCATGTGCCTACTGTTTAATTGTTAGGACTGTATGCCCCTATGGACCCATGAAGTCAAAGGGATTTTGGTCTGAAGTGCAGGGAGCTCGTAGCAAGATGAAGGCTTAAATGCAAGAAAACACCCTTAAAACTCACTCACACTCTTCTGTGAGGGTAGCAAATGCCTTAAAAATACTGCTACAAGTTGGAAATCTTCTTACATCTACTTTCTTTCTAAGTGGCAGAACATTAACTATCCTTTTTGCATCAGCACAGTGAATAAGGGTACACAGGTCTTTTTAATAGTAGAGGTTTCAGGTAAATCTAATTATGCTGCAATTTTGCTAAATGATATTCGTGCAAGGCATAGCACTGGGCCTCCTCATCTGCTGTCTTTGTCTACATCTTACCACTCAAGAGAGACTGAGCAATAAACCTGTCATTCCCTGGCCCTCCTGTCATTCCTCCCTGGAAGAGCTAGTGCCATTTCAGAAGGCACCTCACATCTCCTGTGACCCCACGAGGTAGCCTAAGTCACCTTACAGTCCTCACACACACAGAGCCAGAAGAATGCAGAGACAACTTTCCTTGAAGACAGTGAAACTGCTCTGTCCTACCTGGTCCAATTTCTCCTGAAGAAAATGGAAAGCATGTGTATATTAATGGGTAGAAATGAGGATGTATTTTTAGGTAAAAAAAAAAAACAACAACAAATACTACTTTAAGGAAGTGATTTTGAGTGCCAAAAGATCACAATCATTCTGCTGAACCAACTGAATGTGTCACAGGACTGATTTTCTCATACAACTGGGAACATTTTCTATAATCCAGATTAACTACTGTGCAGGGAAAAGAATCCTTTAAAAGCACTGACAACTTCATACACAATTCCTATAAAATAGAGTTGTAAGAATAATAATCAATACTGTCCAACAGGAAATTAATGTTTTAAAAAAAATTCTACTATGCAACAGGGCTATTTTCTTCTGTTCTAGAAATGTTTTGTAATGGGGTATCACTGACCATTATTGCCATTCTCTCACTAAAACAAATTATCCAGGTCTGTGATTTAAAAGACAGAGTTTTTTTAAACAGTTTGCTTTCTTCCTTTCCTCTCAATAGCTATAAATGAAAGTCTAATTTTGCAATACCTTTTCCTTCAAATGCACAACAGCAAAAACTATGTGGGTTTGTACAGATCATAGCTCTTGGGCTGGGTGATGATTGGGTGCAAACTGTTGTAGTCCTGCCAGGAAAGAGGAGGTGAGCAGAGACAGGAGGAATGTGGAAGTGTGAGAGGGAAAAGAAAGAAAAAATCTCTTGAGGGCACTTAAGGAAGAAGTCATTTTCCACACCTTTCTGGGGATTCCTTTCGAAGCAGCATGAGAAGGAGTACTGCTCCAGTTTATTTATGACACATATTCACACACATCTTGTCTTCACACACTGTGGCTCAAGGGCCCCTCTTGAAAGGAGCCCACTAATTTCACATGTTCAAATGTCTGCTGAGCCACTGCTTCTGTGCCCAGGCTGGGTGAACACAGGTGGCTCTGGGGAACAGAGCTACAATGGCAACACTCGACCACATGGAAATGAGAATGGGAAGAAGCTCCCTTGGTTTTGGCAGTGTTCCCACTGCCACATCTACTGGACTCACAGAGAGCGTATAGGATACAGAAGTCCAACCGTTCTCCAGGGAGAACAAGCTAGGATAAGCTTTTCTGCACCAGGAACAGACAGCAAAAGGAACTTAACAGTCCAATGTGCTTCATGCTGATCTGCTGCTGTATTGCTGCCTCTTCCCTCAGATGTTGTTGACTTGTTCTGCAGAGGAACCAAGAGCACAGCTTTCAGCAGGTAGTGTGGATGGAGTCCTGTAGCCAGATTTAACAGCAAATCCATAAAATGGCATTGTATTTTTGGCTGAATAAGTGTTTCTTTTGGTAGGGTTTTGTCTGTCCCAAGAGGCTTCCTGTCACCCAAAGTCTGAAAACCATGCTTGGTTCAACTGTCAGCTTTTACGTTCATCAATCCTATGTCCCCTCGATGGTAAAAGAAGCTGCCATTTCTCACCCAATATTTTAAATATCAAATGACAGGCATTTACATTAATTCATTCCATCCATATTCTTCTTAGCTCAGCTTTTATGGCTCTGTTTGTGCTGAGCGTTATACAGACTCTTTCTAGCCATGCTCAGTAGTCCCACCAGCAATGATTCACTAAACTTTGCACAAGTGACAGACAACTACTCCTCAGATTCTCATTGTTTCTTGGGAAAAACGGTCTGTCATTTGTATTTGATGGATTTCCTCCAAATATTTTGAAACAAGCTTGAACTTCTGTGTCCTCTTCTTCCTACTGTTACTAATCTTCCCTTAGACTTAGCCACACTCTGAATACCACAGGCATTGCAATACTTTCTGGTGTATACTTTACCCTCACTATATCTAAGCTCTTCCAGTTAGCAGCAATGTACTTTTCCTTATTAGTGGGGCAGGAGCACAGGCTGAAGCTGGATGACAGATTCGGGGTTGGAGCACGCAGTGGAAACACATTCTCAGACTCTATGTCCTTCTTGTCGCCACACAGCCCTCAGCCTCACAGAACTTTCCATATGAAGATCTTATCATCATCCGTGTCCTATTGGTGGAGAAACTCAAGGCCCAGAGGGCAAAGCAGCTTCCCCACAGTCACTCAGGATGGCTCAGAGCAGGACTCAGCCCTCCCGCCTTCCACCTGGCTGCTCACTCCAGGAGACACTGGTGCTTTGGCAATGAGTCACAGTCATGAAATGAGAAATCTCTTAACTAGATCCTGTATCAAAAAGCATGCTGTAAGTAAGAACACACCTAAATGATTTTCTGAACCAGGATCAATATGACTGAAATTTGATGGCAAAAAACAATAAGTTTTTTTTAAAGAGAAACTTTTAATTTTTAGCTGATGACAGTAAAAAGATGTAAAATAAAAGCTTTTGTGGATCTATAATGTTAGTTAATATACATCTGCTTGGTCATTACTACGAAACCAAAATAATTTTTCTGGTATTTTTCTTCCTTCATAAAAATCTGTTCTTAAATATTAGAATGACTAATTTAAGGCTTTTGGGTCATCACTACCATTCCTGATTAGCACATCTGTGTCTCTAATGTCTGACAAGAAGTTTCAACCGTGCTATTACTCACATGGGTTGTTTGGCTGGCTCTACTAATCTTAATCTGAATGATAACCCTGAGATTAGCTCAATTGCTTAGAGCATGTTGCTAATAACACCAAGGTTGTGGGTTCAATCCCCGTATGGGCCAGCTACTTAAAGAGTTGGGCTTTGATAATCCACATGGGTCCCTTCCAACTCAGAGTATTCTGTGAAATTTCTGAGTTCTGAGAGTAATGGCTCCAGGATTGACCCTTTCACTTTGTTGAAGACTGCACTAGTAATTATTTTTTTCCTAAGTTATCTTGATACTAATTTGAAGCATGACAGATGATCTCACACTAATAAGTAGGATGCTCTCACTTTAACCCCTGAAGCCTGGCTCTATAAATGCTTACACACATAAAACCACAGTTCTCTGTATTCCTATACCTTAAAAACACAGAAACATGCCTACTAAATTCGTAATTTAACAGTGCTTGTGATTTCAGAATTTAAAACTATCGATAGCAAAGAGAGAGATGCAGTTCTAAGTCAGTCCTTAAATCATTCACCTTGAACAATAAAAAAGGCCCTAATATAAATTATATCAGTAGGTTTATATATTTAGAAGTGCTGAGGGCATGGATGCTGCAGGCTGCATCAAGAAGATGCTCCTCACAAGACTGCCTTCTGTAATTTATTTATTGTCTGGTGCTGCAAACCCAGAAAACAGACTGCATAGGTACCACAGATCTCAAGAGTATCTCTGACAACAGTGTTCACCAGCCAAGTGACACCCGTTGTTAGTTCTCTGCCATGCTCTCTAATAGCAAGGATAAGCCTGTTGTTAAGCTCTTCTCTCCACTTGTTTATCTGACTCGACAGCCCTCATTTCTACACCAGGATTCCTCTGTCTAATTAGAGTACTTATTCTAAGTGAAGTAAATAAAACAGAAGAATGTTCCTATTGCATAACAAAACAATCTTTCCCAGGTCCCTCAGTTGCAAACTCTAGTGGAAAATACTAATTATATGAAATAGAACGCAAGACCTCGGGAGTTCTTTAATGTTTCCTTTGATAGAAAAATAAATTTATGGCTGAATAAAGCTGTTCCTGTATGTTTCTGCATCAGCAAATGAAAAATGGGCTGAGAAAAGTTGATTTTTCCCTGCTGCTTTTCTGAAAACCTGAAGTTGGCACGAGGCAATAGAACAATAAAGATCAGACCTTGCACATTTAGAGAAAAACAGGATGGGTAGGGCTCCCTCTGCTACCCAGTGTCAAGAGGATAGATACTATCTTTAATACAGAGAACATCTAGAGAAGGTGGGTACTTTGAAAAGGAAATTGGATGGGTTACTGGGTCTCATACAAAAAGGGGAAATTTGTCTCAGTGGCTCTTTAAATCTCTCATGGAGTTTGATGGAAATTCCTGTGGTTGCTTCACACAATTACATGGCCTTGGGAAAAAGGTGTACTGGCACATGATGGTGAAAAGCAGTCTGAAAACCCACCTCTGCTAGACAACTATCTCAACAGAAGCAGACAAAAGACATTTTAGTTAGAGAAATAACAAGGGAAGAAATCAGTAGAAAAGTAAACAAGACAAGGAGTTGTTTTGCGGAGATGGAAGCTGTCACTAAAGACAGTAAACATCTGGTTGTGTTAATTATATGTTAGGAGCCAGATGAATCATGTATGACTAAGGTATAAGGCTAGTAGGAATGAAAATAAATCCAGGGTAACATACTTGAAAGAGAAGAGTAGAGTAAGTACTTACACATCTTTAGTAGTCCCTGTAGCACCTAGGAAAAAAAAAAAGTACATGTTTACCAGATAATGGCATAATCCTCTAAACCAACCAACAGCACAGCAAGCATTTCTCATTGTCCTAAACAATGCAGAAAGAGCAACAGAACTTTGCTACTGTCAAAGAGCACATTTCTCATGATTGTTCAGTTTATCCTTAATGCTTATCCATACTATCCCTTAAGTCTATCATGCTTAGATCTCAGCCAGACTCTCAGTGTGTGAAAATGATCCTGCTGTGGACCAGTGCTCAGGTACAGTCACTCAAGATGAGAGCAACATAAGACAAAACTAGTCTTTCTGAATTTTATATGCTTTGCTTTGCTCAGCCTTCTGGTGGTTTGGTCTGCTACAAAGTTAACACAATTAACCAAGTGGTTACTCCCAAATGCCTCCTTATTCTGCCATTTGTAGAGTTGGCACTATATGTGTAAAATGCTGCTTTGTTCTTCCTGCCAGATAAACAAAGTTTTATAAAACAACCAGGCAGAACTACTATAAACATTGGGACACAATCCATCCAAAGCCCCAGACATCCAAAGAGATCAACCATCCCTTAATCCATCTTGCTATTTAACAAAAAAAACATGGCTGCCTGGTCTCAGTGAGTGATCTTTTTATTTTTCGGTAGCTCAGATGTTTCTTGTTGGGAGAGAAACATTCACTGAAGTACAAACTCTTTCCTGTTCCTCTCAAGTCATTAATGCCATATTGCCCTTCCTGGTATATAATTCAGCTGAGTAACCAGCAAATTATCCCTTCTATTAATTACACAAGCTAAGGCAGACATTAGAAAAACCTTTCACTCCTCCTTTCCTACTTAGCAATAGGTGATCTGAGCTCACCCTGAAGAAACTCCAGTTGTCAATACAAAAGATTTTACAAGTTTGGAAGTAAGCTGGGTTTTTTTTCAGCCATGGTACTTCATTTCTCAAAAAACTTTTATTTTTCCTGGGCTGAAAAATATAGATTAATAGCAAACATCTTTTGTCTCGCTGATGTGTAAGGATATGTCTTCTGCATTCTTATTTTAAACGGAAAGAAGAAGAAGCAGTCCTGCAAGGCTTTCCAGCTCTGCCTACCTGAATGGATTGCTTGAATGGCAGGAAATATTACCTTTTACAGCTAACTCCTGAACATAATATCATTCCCATTTCCTATGACTTGACTATCCCTCCTTTTCCCAGTAATAACATAGACTAGACTTGCATAAGACCGTACACATTTCTTCTGTTAGTCTTGGTTCTAGAGTCAGCAAAATCTCAGTACAGCTACATGTATCAGCAGAAACTCTTAATTAATTTGGAGGGAGTATCTCTATTCACAATGAGCTCAGGCCCTTGCTTTAAAACTTTATTCTACCAGGCAGCCTTCTGAGACTTTTTGGCTTTATAGGCATGTCTATAAAGCACTACATGGAAACCTTTCAAATTAATTTTGTCCAGGTGGAAAGTTGGCCTTGCAATGCCGCATGCAAGCTCAATCTCAGCCGATGCTGAGATTCATCTAGTTCATCTAGATGCTAGTTCATCTAGAGTCAGCTCAGCTATGTACCTTCAGGGCACCCCCCTGCACATCTAGACAGAGCCTTCGCATCAGCAACACTTCAGACAACATGGGTTTTGAGAAGCTTAATTCCATAGCTGGAGCTAGCACGATTTTTAATTTTTTTCCAGAAGAAGCTATTCCTGTGCTGTGCCTGTTCTGCACCAGAACCATGACTTTCTTATTTTCTTAATCTAAGCTCACTGCATTGAACTTAGTTTCTCCAAAAAAGTTCATGGTCCTTTGCCAAGACTTTTCTGAGTCTAAGGTCTCAGCACTTAGATCCCCACTTGAAAAACTAATGTCTTCCTGGCAGGAAGTATACCAAAAGTGTTTAATACACAAACTGAAACCTTAAGATGAGTGAGAAGAACTGTGTGCCCACAGTACTGCTACATTTCCCAGAGGTGATACTCAAGTTCCAGTCAATCACCATGCACTGCCCATGCCCAGTGCCATACCTGTCTTCAATGCATTATGGTACACATACATTCTCACTCTGGGGACAGCAGATGTCACTCAGACCCATCAACCTGGGCTTTGGATAGACCTATACAGTTATGAACCTGTGTTTCGAAATGTGCCACTTGCATTCACACATGGCAGCATTTGCTTCCTTTGAACATGAGTGAGGGTACCACTGCTGAAAAAAACCACTGCAGCATTTTGAAATGCATTTCACATGAAAACAGCGAGAACCAAATATGATAAAAACAAATCCACTTTTAAGAGATCACTTTTACATATAATAAGAAATACACTGTTTTCTACTTTTTTATAAGCACAACAAACCAGGTTATCCTCACTTTCATTGATGGGATTCCATTCATTTCAGTGGTGTTATTTCTCATTTTCACTAGCAAAAATGAAACAAGTGTTTGGTTGAAATTCACTCAAATACCACTGAAGTATTCAATTATACATTTGAAAGTATTTCCAGTTCAGAAAAGAGTTTTCTTCCTGCAAGAGTTCAGAGCTTACAAATGAACATAATTTTATGGAGGCGGCCCATAAAAAAATCTCTGTGTAAAAACTTTAAGGTTTTCTTCACTAAGGAGCCTGAACACAACTTATACACAGATATTACTTCACAAGGAACCCAATAACATCTCAGTTTATACAGACATGTTTGTTTATAAGGTTCAATCTGTTCACCCTCACCCTATTACTTCACTGACACATTTGTCTAATTCTTGCATGTTTACTGAGCAACACATAATTTTATAGCTACTCAAGTTCCTTCTGCCAAAAGTTCAGCCAAAGAATCTTGTTTACTACCAATCCACAAACACCGTATAGCTGTTCCACAGCAGCAGGACTCAGTGCTCTCAGAGACATAATGTTTTAGATATATGACTTGAGAAAAGCCTCACATATTTGAAAGCCTGTCCATTTTTTCCCACTATATCAGCTTGGTCTAAAAAAAGGCAGTACTTGACCCTACAAACTTCGTCTTGATAGGCTTTTGTTCATTTGGTTTCTCAAAACCTGCCTAACCTCAGCAGCAGATTGAAGGGCAGCCAGGAAGCTGCATCTACAAAATAATAGGCAGTACTGAATTGTCCTCAATGACCTCTCTGCTCACAGCCTCTACACAGCAGGACTGTGGGTGCATTTTGGAATTTTAGAGCTGCAGAAGGAGGAGTACAGCCTGCAGAATAAAAGAGCCATGTATTGCTCTAAGCCCAAGTGATTACAGAAGAAAAACATTCTGCCTAGAGTAGCAGAGCTGTGATCCCTCAAAAGACCCCACAGCATTTAAACAGTCACAAATCAAGAAGAACAAGAACGTATTCCAAAGCATCTTCCATTTGGTGAGAGGAAGTTTTGAACTTTCAAAACAACAGCAGTTGCTGTTTGTGACACTGCGGGATTTCAGTAAACGCAGGCCAAGTGCAAAAGGTGATTGAAAGACATTGACAGCCACAGACAATATTCCTCTGGGCTGAGAAATGCATTGTGAATGGAGGTGAAAGAAAAAACTTCATAAGAAACAAAAAGTATGAGAGGCAACCACTCATGAATAAAAACACGGATACAAAAAAATGTCAATATCTGACTTTAGAGCAGATTATGAAACATTTTCCCATTATTTTTTAATGAACAAAGTTTTCTTGTACATAATTCAAATCATTACAAAAAGCAGATAACACCCTCCCCAAAATTACACGTACATCTATGCAATTGTTAAGATTACAAATGAATTTTCTACTGTAGGATCTTTTCTGATATGCTCCAAAAGTCAGCAATATGGAATCAAGTCCTAACATCAATAAATTTATTCTATTTATACCCACTGTAACTCAGGACAGAATTACATCAATTTACTTCAAATTGATTACTTCAACTCATCAGGTGGGAGTTCTGTACACAGACTTGACCTGATCAATAGAATGGCAGGACAATTTCCTGAGCATTCCACCAAACTTGAAGTTAATAAATCTGTTTAAACTTCGTGTGAAAGTTCTCCATCATAACCTGACTGTATTTGAAGCTCTCCACAGAATAACAACTTCTCTGTTTTGACAGCCTCCAGTGAGTACCACAACTTAAGGTGCTGTCACTGCTACTACAATAGATATGGAAAAGAGGAGACAGTTAAAAATTGTTAGCAAAGCAACACTAGAATTTAGGAAAATGCCTTAACTAAAAAAAAAAAAAAACCCAAACAAAAACACAAAACAAAACAAAAAAAACCAAATTAATGTTTAGAACCATAACTTTGAAAGGTGGGAAAACAAAAAAGAGAAAAAAGAAGAGCTATTTTTGAGCTTCTAAAACACCAGGAAATAACATGAAAGAAGGATATGTAAAGTGAGGTAACAAAACATAATGAAAATAGCAAGTCAGGAAATTAAAAAAAACTAAGTATAATCCATAGTTAGCACATAAACTAGCCAGGTGATTTAAGAAGGATGTGTATACATCAGTTTACTTGGATAACTGAAGTTGCCATTTCTCAATTCAGGAGCTTTTTGCCACTGTCTGATGCTCTGGGAAGAACATGTAAACTCTGAGTTATATTGGTGTTCTGGAGTACTGCGCCACAGACAGAAATGTTATTCTAGATCATGTCTATTAGTTTAGATCTTACAGACCATAGGGCTGATAGCTCCTCTGATGTCATTCTAGCCATGCAACAGAAGATAATATGATTAGCTGAACTATCACTATATACATCTACTTAGGAAAAATCAAGCTAGGCTACAACAGGAATTTTACCAAAGTAAGAAAATGGGGACTGGCATAACACATTTAATGTATTCTGTGAAGTACATTACAATATTATCCTTAGTCTTATGATATGACAGAATGTTACAGGTTAATTACATGTTATGTACCTGTAGCTTTGACATTACTGACTGTAGAATAGTCATAACTTTAGCACTAAAGATGTAGTCACACTGTGCATGCCACAAAATTAATTTGCATTTACACAGTATTCACACCTTTTGGTAACATACTGAGTTGCACTTTCATTAAAAGTTCAAGGATTCAAAATAAAAATGGTACATCTTCTCCTTCCCCTATATAAAATAATTTTTATTAGACACACTTTGTAAGGAATGTTAAATAAAGCAAATAAATAGTAGACATCTGACATCTTATTTTTATTACCAGTTGTTTGTTGTTTTAAGACCATAGACTGCACAGAGTACTTTCTGACTGGCAGTGGTGAAAGTGAGAAGAGAACTGGACCTTTCAGAGCTGCATTTGCTTTGGAAAAGTCTACCAGTGCAACAGTAATAATTCCAATATACTGATGATGTGTTTTACATGGTATTATTTTTTCACGTGCGCTAAGCTATTGGAGTTCTGCGGGCTATTTCTAAAGAGCATGCAAAAGGTTGCCAAAATGCAAGTTCAAATATTCTGTGAATAAGAGTGTAAGTTTAACTATCAAAGGGGTCGTACCTTCAATGAAAATACTTTATTAATCTACAAGCCAAAACCTAAAATATCTGCCTTTAATGCAACAGGACACATTTAAACAAACTTTTTGTTCAAAAAAATTTGCTAAATAACACCGCTGTCAGAGTTAGTGTATTTGACATTTACCCATTTGTATCCTGGTACAAGTCCCACAGGGTGGCCAGATCAACATTAATTTAGAAACTACCACAAAGGAACTAATAATGAACTCAAAATTTTCCTCTGAACTTCTCTGAAGCTTGCACTGGTGCTTTCACCCAGGAAACAGAAATGGGATGTGAACAAGGATCACCTCAGTGGTATGAAGCTAGACTTGTCATATACAGAAAGAACTTCCACTCACCACAATGCAGGAATCAACTAATGGGAGATAATTCATCTGTGCAAACAGGACAGCTCCAATAAGAGCACAAAGTTCAAGCAAATTCATATAGTGCATTCTTTATGGACGAGAGAAGCCTCTGATAGATACACATGACACCTAAAACCTAATTTATAATCATTTAATAGAAATCAAGTAAGCAATAAAGGCAGAAAAGCCATTCTTCTGTGAGCATGAAGTGCAGAGTTTAACAGGTAAACCAGCAACACACCACACAAACCTACATACATATGTGCAATTTACAAACATACATACATATGTAGAACTTGGAGAAGGTATCATCATTCACAGGCATGACCAAGTCAGGACTAGCACCACCCAAGGCACCACTGAAGCTCTGGATAAAGTAAGTCAAAACAGTAAGAGATGGAGACCCAGTAATTCTAACTGGTCTGGCCACTGCTTTGCTGTGTATTTGAATGACTTAATACTGGAACAGGTGGCAATGTTTGTCAAGTGCATTTAGGATGAAAAATGATTGAGGAATGTTCGTATTATAATTGCATGGTGAAGGTCCACTTATCAGTTTCCATGTACTTTCCTTTTCTGCCGGGGCTCGGGGGGAGGAAGAGCACAACAGCACCATCTTCCCAGATCTTATCTCTTTTGAAAACAGCAATGAACAAATAAGGGGGCCGGCTGGACGAAACAGCCAGCCGTACACATTAATATGCATGAAACCTCTATCATGGAATATCCTCCAACTTCTCCGACAAGCAAGGAGAAGATGTGGCACAAATTCATTTCAGAAGTGGCATTCGTGGCCTTATAGGGAAGCAAAGAGGATGGAGCTTACACCCTCAGCGGGATCCTTACGTCCAGTTCCCGGCCTGGGCTCTCTGTGCCTTGGGCAGCTCCTGTCGGAGGTGCTGATTCTAGCGACAACTGGGCACCAGAAAGCCGCCGGTGCCCCCGGCAGGCCATATCATCCTCTGTCCCCTGGGCAAAGGGATCAGGCTCGGGAAAGGAAGATGCTCTTGCAAGAGGGCGGGCAGCGATACCCGCGGCTCAGACGGGCATCCCCCAAACCAGCGTCTGTAGCCCCGCCGCGGGCGGGTGTGTGCCCGCCGCGGCCCCCCGACCCGCAGCCTCCCGACCCGCAGGGCTGCCCAAGGCGGGGATGTTCCCGCCGCTGCCCACCCACCCAGCCCAGCCCGGCCCGGTCCGGCGCCGCCCGCCCGCCTCGCACCGCCGCCGCCGCCGCCGCCCTACCTCGCCCGCCCGCGCCGCCGGCCGTGGAGTTGCCGCAGCCCATGGGCGCTGCCCTGCCCGGCGCTGCGCCCGCCGGTGCGCAGGGAGCGGAGCAGAGCGGTGCCGGTGCGGTGCGCTGCCGGTGCGGTGCGGCGACGGGAGGCAGCCGGTGGCGGGCGGAGCCGGGTGGGAGATAAAGCCGCAGGGACCCCTCCTCCTCCTCCTCCTCCTCCTCCTCCTCCTCCACTCCCCACCCATCGCCCGGGAAACCGCCGGCCCCGGGCGCCGCCGCCCGGCACCAGCCCCGGCCCCTCACCGCATCCCCTCACCACACCCCCTGTTCGACCCCGAGAAAGACCACCCCCCGCCTCCCGGGCTTTCCCCTCGTCCGGCCGGCCTGGAGCTGTTAAGCGGGAGATATGGCTCATTGCAGCACAAGCCGGCAGGACTTCTAACGATCCCCGCCCAGAGCCCACCCCGGGCAGTGGAGATGCTCCTTGGCTCACGCATTTCACGGGAGCTTTGGGACACCCCTCATTCACCACGGGAAACACCAGTGTAACCACAGGTCCCGGCAGCGAACCCTACATCTGCTATCAATAACATCCCGGTCACTATTTTAAAAAAATATTTGTTGGTTGGTTTCAGTATTTCTCTTCTTATAGGAAACATGACAGTGAAACTGGAGACCCACTGGGTTGGTAAGAGCTGCAGACTTGTTTTTCCCAATTAATATCAACAGCACCAAGAAAGGTGCAATATAAGTTTACAAATTCTGCAGGCAATCATTTTCATCGAACATTTGTATAATTTACCAAAAAGAATTTTACTTTCTGCTAACCCAAACCTGTCTTTCAGACAGAGAAGTAAAATACTTCAAAACCCTGATGGTTCTCATACTCTTACTCTGTCCTCTTAAATGACCAGCGAGCTGAAACCCAACAGATACGTTCAGATACAACTACAAATACTCTGGATAGATAGATATTACTGCTACAATGAATTTGTTCAACAGCTCACAAAGATGCTTTAGCGGTGCATATGACTGATAATTGTCCACTACAAAAGGACCAGATATAAAGTGTTGCTGCCTGATCTTGCAGTCTATTCAGAGAACGGGAAAAAAGACATCACAATTCTCTCAGAGACTTCCCAAAGAGCACATATTAAAACCAAGCAATTCCATAAGCAGCAGAGTCAATAACATCCAGTCTCCTACGGATTTTTGCCCTGAGGAGGACACTCCCTGATGTCCTCCCTGATGTAGTAGGGTGGGCATTTGTAAGGTCTCCCTCCTCTGGCTTGCCACCTATTTTCATGTCATTTGTAGAAAGTCAGTATTTTCAGGGTCTTTGTCTATACCCTTCTGACAAACTGCCTGAATCTGAACAATCAGTTTACAATTTAATAAGACAGAACTAACAGGCACATAGGCATGGCCACACAACTTCACCACCTCCAGCCTCCAAGCAGACAGCCAGCACAATGGTGTGCATTTTGCACACAAAGGTTCACAGCAACCTCTTTTTGACGGCCAGTTTTCTGAAATTCGCACATAGAAAAATAAACCCTCAGGCCAAGCTTTCAAGCGTCAAGTATCAGCCCAAAGTGAATTTTTAATGGCAGAGTTAGGAAGGAAGAAAAGGTGCTCTGAAAGCAAGGCTGAAAGACATGCTGCTTAAGATCACATGTGGTTTTCAAATATAAAAACAAACAAAAAATCCCAGCAACCCACACTGACCATAGACTTGCCACATCTTGAAGTATCTATAAACATGTTTTTAATATATGATTTACCTTGGAGGAAGCGGTTGTGGTGAGCACAGAAACCGAGCCATGTCCTCACACATTAGAAGAGGCAGCTAGGAGGCAAAAATCCCCTGGAGATGCCTTGACCCCAAGCTGTTGCCCTGGCCACAAGGATAAGATATAAGACTGATTCAGGAACCTGCAGTAGTATTAAGGATGACAGAAAGATACTGTAGCTTCTAAGCGCTCTCACTCCTCTTAAAAGTTCAGTGCATCATGCACAAGCCAAGCACCCTGTGTGCACAAACTAAGGGCTGCATGAAGTTCAATAAGGCAACAAACTTCCAGCACAGCCATCCAAAGCTGAAGTTAGTAGCACTTCCAGAGGATTTAAGACAAAGGAAATGTGATGTATTCCTCTATATACTGTCTGGGACTGTAATGAGTCAGCCCCTCTCTTGACAGCTCTATTGTAGGTGCCTCCTACTTCAAATGAGAAGACATGCTTTAGTTTCAACTTTACTTGTGTTTTACACAAACAGAGCATTTCACTTTATTACTGAAAATAACTGGTAGCAAAATATAGTCACATAAGCAAGTTAATTAAATGAACACTTTATATCAAAGGAAAGGAGCAGTGTGTTCCCTGCATCAGCAAACTCTCAGTGTCTGCCATCACACACCCTGCGTACTTCATCTCCTCTGAGGAAGACTGGGAGATGTATGGATGTGAGTGAGCTTTTCTAAGTATTTCAGAAGGTGTAGTGAGAATTGTTATTGTCTCCCTGAATCAACCTAAATTTTACCCGGCTTGGAAAACAGGTTGGTTAATGGAATTATCCAAATCTGAAATTCCAGTGATTTTCTGGTTTTGGACATTTTTGCTAGTCTGAGTGTTTGGAATCCAAACAATCTGTCCATCAAGCTGGTATGCAGGTCTATGGAAACGAATTTTTAAACCCCATAGTTACTTCCTGATATTAGGGAACAGCCCTTATTTGCACAACAATATATACTTTTCCCAATCCTTTTTTATCTAAGTATCCATATAGAAATCTTATTCACTCATCATTTTTTTTAACAAAACATTTGCTTCCAAAGGCTTGGATCTCAGCCCATGTAAGTATAAGAGCTGGACTTTGATGATCCTTGTGGGTCCCTTCCATCTCAGGATACTCTATGATTCTATATTAATCTAATTACCATTACTTCTTTTGAAGAGTGTCTTTTACATATGGATGTTCTCAAAACCACAGATGTCCTGAAAAAATGGTCAGTTCTTCATCAGTAGTTAGCATCCTGAGATAAATTTTTTCCTAATCAAACTTACAACAGGAATTCCACGTAGACCAAACCTGCCCTCTTTAAGAGTTGCACTACAAATCTGTGGTCAGAGTTAAACAATGCAACCACCTTGTTCATGGCAGATTCTCAATTCCAGTGTTTTCATGTTCTAATTCCAGTGTTTTCAGGTTACCTTGAATTATGTTTCTCCCAGGACTGTTACAGTCTTGCTACAGCACTGTTGTTTTATAGCTAGCAACCTCAGCTTGTAGTTTTCACTAACTTGCTCAAATATCATAGTGCTGCATAGATAGCAGTTGTGATTGCTTAAGGACAGAGAGTTACAACTCAATTTCCCAGTAAACCTGCAAGGATCATTCTGCTTGAAAAATTTAGCAGTCCAAGCCCCAGTCTAACAAAAAAAAAAGCACTCTAGGGTCAGCTGGGGGTTGTTTGGTTTTACACATCAGGAAACAAAGCCCGATATATCAAGATATTAAATTATTTTCATTGATGTTAGGGGGAGGGAATCAAGAATTTATTAGTAAAAGCTATCATGATTTCACAACCCTCAAAGTTGCTCACTACATGGCACTGGGAAACACTGAGAAGATTGCTGGGAACATTTTATTCTTAATAAAAAGAGTTAACAAATTTGACTTGGGATACAGAAGCCAAATGACAATTATAACAAAACCCAGAAGCCAAAATAAAGGAAAAAACCTACACCCCCCCTGCTTCTACAGTATTTCTTAGTGACACACTGTAAAAGCACTTGATCACACCAGTCTGACCCCAACTGTGCAAGGTACCATCTGGACATATAATGAATGTTCATCCCTGCTGGCAGTCAGAAAGACAAGAAATAGCTGATGGGTGAGATAATAGAGAAGCCAAAGTAGGAAGCAGTGAGATAGCATTACTATTTTAAAAAAGGATGTGCCTAACAAGAACATAAAAAAAGAGCTGTATCGGGTCAAAGGAAAGACCCACCTTGTTCAGGATCCTGTCTCTGACAGCAGCTGAAAGAACGTAGGAAACTCATATGGTAAATCCCCCTCCCAAACTCTCCCATCTTCCAGCACTTGCAAATCATAGTCTGCCTGAGACAGGCACAGTTGCTTCGTATTTAGCAATTCTTAACACATTTGGCTTCTATAAACCTGTCCCACCCACCTTTGAATCCACATAAGCCCCTGGTACCCAAGGCATCGTGTGTTCCACTTCTCAGCCACATGTGATTTGAAGAACCTGCTTTTGTTTGCTTTGAGCCTGGCTCTTGCCCAGTCCAGCTGTTGATGGTTTGTTCCTTGGATCAGGATAAACATTGAAGAATTAATTCCCCACTTCACACCATTCATGATTTTTGTTCTTCGTAGTAGAATAAACACCAAAGAACCAATATGCCATGTCCCCTATCCTAATCTTCAGTTAGCAGCAGTAATAGCAAGTTGTCATTTTCTGGCAGTTGATCAATAGGTAGTTAAAATACTCTGGAAGAGATTTTCTGCAAAAGGATTTAGAAACCCCTTTTTACAGGCTAGATTCTGCTAGTAACACCAAGTTTATGCAAGAAGCAGTGCAGAGACCCTTGCATGCTTTTCCTACCAGAGACTTACTGTAATCCATGCAGAGAGTCCCTCCTTGCACTCTTTGTTAGCAATGAGAAAATGTGATAAAGAGCTTTCTATACCATTCCCCTCTTCCTTTTTCTGGCTGCCTGGGAACTCCATGCTTACTGTGGGAGCTTCTCAGCACAAAACCCCAAACTCCTCTGAGCCCTGAGCTGGTTCCACATAACATTATTTAATCATGGCAACACAGCAAGGAACAGAATCAACTGCAAGAACTTAAGAGGAAAAGGAATTTGTCTTCCTCCTAGCAGTGATAGTGGAAAATTTGACTTGAATATTTCTTTTAAATGAAAAAATAAAAAAAACCAAAACCCAAAAAACAGTAGAATGTGATGCTTTATAACAGTCCATGGAAGCTGCCTTAAAAATATAATTTAAATACCTCAGTTTAAAGCATAAAATAGTATTTGCCAAGATGAAGGGTTTTTTTCATCCTAAGTCAAGAAG